TCGGATGGGCTCGCTAGTGACTGGAAAGCCATGATCGGTACTGGCATCGGCCTGATCGGCCTGGTTTTGGTCCTGTGATTTGGTGTGTGGGGCATCCGGTATATCAAGCCTGCTTTGTTATGTCATATTATGTGCATATGAGAGATATGTGCAGAGTTGATGACCCTAAAGTACTGCTCAATCACCCTCAGAGACCCTAATGGGAAATGTAGGTGTTAGGAAAGATACCTATACTAACCAAGAGTGTCTATCTCTATCCTCTCAGTTCGCTGCCAGTAACGACGATACCAACCCCGACATCATATTCTTGACAAAATATGCCACGGCATTCCGCTGCGGTTGTGGACCTCGCGTGGTTACTGGCTGTCCTCACAACCAAAAGTGGCCAAGGAAATAACTCTGTCATTCAATTTAAGGGTTAAGAGCCCGGTAAGTGAGAGGGGAGGGTGGCCGTTATACACATGTTTACTATCAAATTCGGGGAATGTGGGGCCATCTCCTGCGATGAACAAGATACTCGACGCTACGACTCTGACGTATTAATGAATGGATGGGAGTACACGAGTGTAGCCGCTCCCCAGTGGGCAGTATACCAACGTAGAAGGAAAAGTAGATAGCGGAAATACTGAAGCATAGTGTGATTGGTTGCAAAGTAAAAGGTTGCCATGGCCATTGAAATTGTATAGAGGCCTTTCGGTGAAAACGTACCCCCACGTTCACTCCGACGCCCACCTCCGCATCCGCAGTTATACACACATCCCACTCCCACCTCCGAGATCGACCAATATACTGGGGTTGGGCTATGCTATAATGTCAAAGATGGATCTAAGTAACAGTATTTATAAAGCAATGGATATCTCTAGGGATACTCGGACCGCAATGTCAATCTTTTTATTCTTAAGAATGTACCTTTGATTCACTGAATTGTCAAAATAATCCTGAACTGCTCCAAATGCTATCAGTTACTGCGCTAGTAGGGGCAGCTATTGCTGTCCTACTTCTTCCTCGCGTTCTCAGAATCGGACGTCGACCAAAGAACTACCCCCCGGGACCTCTAACATTGCCCATTTTGGGGAACATTCATCAGGTATGTGATAAGGTGCTCTTTCAGATGAAGAACTTTGAACTAACTTTTCGCCTTTAGATGCCATCTCAAGATGCCCATCTTCAATTCGAAAAATGGGCACGTGAATATGGCCCAATATACAGTTTAATCCTGGGCACCAAGTGTCTGATTGTGTTGTCCAGTGATGAGGCAGTCAAAGAGCTTTTGGATAAAAGAAGTGGTATATATTCGCACCGGCCAGAGTTGTATATTGGCCAGATTTTGTGCAGCGGTGACCTCAGAATGCTGATGATGGTAAGCTGAGAAGTGTGGCTAACTGTTTTTGGGGTTTATCTCGTAGCTAACCAATTCTTCCATTTTTCAGGGCTACGGACCAACATGGCGCGGGGTATGTATTACTGATTATCATTTCGATATTTGTGCTCACTGGATTCCAGTTCCGCAAAATGGTGCATGGCTTACTTAACGTTACGACATCCAAGAAATATCTACCTTATCAAATGTTGGAGAATCGGCAAATGTTGTATCAGTTCCTGACGGAACCAGAAGGATTCTTGAAGCACATTCGACGATACTCCAACGCCCTCACGACCACGATGGTTTTTGGATGGCGCACGCCTACATACGAAGACGAGAAGATGATGCAATTATTTAACGGCTTCTCGGAATTCGCAGATCTCAACCAGACCGGAACAGCAGCGATCATTGACTTCTTCCCGTGGCTGCGGAAACTACCCGAGTTTCTTCTCCCAGCACAACAAAAAGCAAAGGACCTCCACAAAAAAGAGAAAGCATTATATCTGAGCCATTGGTTGCGAGCAAAGGAAGAGGTTCAACAAAACACAATCAAGCCATGCTTCTCCGTAGGAATGTACAAAGCGCAGAAAGAGGACGGTTTCAGCGACGACCAAGCAGCTTATATCTCCGGAACCCTCCTAGAAGCCGGCTCAGACACTACATCAAGCACATTATACGCCTTCGTTCAAGCCATGCTACTGTACCCAGATGTTCAACGCAAAGCCCAAGAAGAAATCGAAAGGGTGGTAGGTTCGGGTCGCCTACCCGTCATGGAAGACCTGTCCGGACTACAGTACGTACGAGGCTGCATGAAAGAAACAGTCCGCTGGATGCCGACAACCATCCTTGGAGCCGTTCCACACGCAGTCACACAAGACGACGAGTACAAAGGGTACTTTATACCAAAGGGGGCTGGCGTGATGAACAATGTGTGGGGCGTCCACATGGACCCGGGTCGTCATCCCAGCCCGCGGGTATTCAACCCCGACCGGTACCACGACGACTACCAGAGCTTCGGAGAGGCAGCGGCAAACGCGGATCCGTCGAAGCGGGATGTGTTCACCTTTGGTGCGGGCCGTCGTATATGTCCTGGTATCCATGTTGCCGAGCGCAGTCTGTTCCTCGGCATGTCGCGCATTCTGTGGGCGTTCGATATTACGCCGGAAACTGATACGGCAGGAACGCCTATTCTGCCTGATCCTGATCGCTTGACGCAAGGATTTGTGTGTATGCCTGAAGAGTTCCCGGCGAAGATAACACCAAGGTCACAGGAGAGAGCGGATTTGGTCATGAGCGAGTGGAAAGAGGCGGAGAAAGAGTGTCTTGATCCTAAAACAAGACAGTGGATGCAGTCACCTGTGGAAGTATGAATTGATGGATGGAATAACTGTTTGCTGTGTCATTTATGTATTTGCGGTGCCGGGGTTAAATCAAAGAAGAGAAATATTCGTACTTTAGCGATTTTTGACTGGAGGGGACAAATCTAACTCCAAAGTCTTCAGACTAAGAGCTGTCAGGCAGCCAATGATATATAGGTATAGAGAATGCTCCACACAAGATGTGCATCCTCAAACCCACTCCTATCATCTTAGGGGCTTGGAAAAAGTTGATATAACTGGTATTCGTGTAACCCGGGTTCTACGCAGGAAAGAAGAATGAAAATAGGGGGTTTATACCTCATTTTTCCGAGATGTAAGTTCTGGGCTCAGATCTCGGCCAACCTTACACCCCTGGCAGGTCTCGGTCAGCATGGTACGGACGGACGTGTGTGGAAGATATTGAGATATGTGTTATTACCCGTGTGTGGTGCTAGCTCTAAATTGGTCAAATAGTCGGTGTAACCTAGTGTAAGTTTTAGTAGCAACTATGCGGTGAAACAGAAGACCCGAAAGGGTATTATCGCCGCCATATAATATCCGATTTGAGCCAGGTCGGACAAGAGATTGATATGAGCCATATAACTCAGCGAACGGGGTGCTCTTCCCGCACACATATCCCATGCCATCCTTGAAACGTAAATAACATTGCTCATTCCAAGGGGGAATGCTGGGGTACTAATATAAATAGTCCTGTCCGCACCTTGCGATGGTCTTCCTGAAACTCTCAGGATACTATTCTGTTTGAGATGATAACCTGCAGCCATCGAGTTAACGCAAGTTCCAATTGTCACACGAGCGATCGCAGTTCTTGGTGCGAGATAACCAAGACCGGCCGAACTCCTATCTTGAAATGTGCTTGTCTTCCAGATATTTGGGAAATCGATTATGATAATTCCAATACTTGTGAACCGCTTCCTAGCCGACAGATGCATCTCAAGATATCAGTGGGAAGACGATCATTATCCCGAGGTCCGAGAAAGGTATAACCTCAAGGCCCTTGGAATCAGATATCAGAGATGTCGAAGCTACCCCTTGAATGCTTAAGTGCAAATTCCCACTTTTTTTTTCTCAGACGAAATAGGCGACTTCCGGTACAGAAAGGAGAAAAAGAGCCAACGCACAATGTGCCGTGTGACCCAACAGGCGACAGGATTATTCAAAGTGAAGGATCCCGCTTTTGGGGAAAAACCAGTGGAAAGGAAAAATGCCTCAGGTTTATATAAATGGCGCATACTGCGGGGCCCTGAGATTCGGTTTTGGGGTGGTTATGATTGGTCGGTGAGCTGACAGCTGAGAGCTTGTTTCTTTTCTTTTTTTTCCTTTACTTTTGTTTGGTGGATCTTCGTGTATACCGAGAAAGGGAAATAGATGGAGATTGAGGAGCATTGAAACAAAATTGACAAAATACTTCACCGAGAGAGAAAGATATGAAACATTGGCGGTTGAGGGGGGAAATGAGTGAAATGGGTGAAAATGCCCTAACACAGCACAGCCACCTCCAGATGCAGATGGTCCACGATTTACATCAGCCCCATGGTGGAACGGGCGTCTCGATTGCCGAGTTAAAAAAAATAAAAGAAAATAAATAAAAAATAGAAGTGATAGGTATTAGCTCAGATCCACGTGAAAACAGAAGAGCATCAAAAAGAAATGTATGAGGCATTTCTATCTGGCATGGTAGTATTGGGGGAATTTGGAGACACTCCCGGTATCTCAATTTATCAGTGAACTCCAACCGATTTACGAAAATCCCTCATAGCTATAGTATCCACAGGTTTCCCACTCTAAGGTACAGAGTATACGGGGTACATATAGTTATAAGTTAACACATGTATGTACTTTCTAGCCGTTTTACCCTTTTTGGTATATTCCGTCGGAGACCCACGTCCGCCACAAAAGTACCGCATAGTAGCATGAAACCATGGCCCAAGCTCCAGTCAAAATGAATCAAAGTAAGAAGAAAAAATCCCTGAAGCCACAAAGCCACAAAGTACAGAACCCTCTGAATGCACGAGCCAGTCCTAGTCGATCCTGTGGCTGTGACTACTTGGTCGAATCATAGGGTTGGCTTCTAGCGACACACACACGCCTGTTCCGAATAGAAAATGTAATAGAAAGGGAAAAAAGAAAAAGAAAAAAAAATAATAATATGTCTCTGTAATTGTCAATATCCCGGTTGACCCCTCAGTCCTACCTTACTACCTTACCACGGGACGATCTAAGAAAAAGGTATATAAGCTCCTCCCCGTCCACGCACCATGACCTCTCATCTTAACGAGGAATGCTTATCGACGGTCAAAAGTGGGCGTGTGAAGCTTGTATACGGGGCCACCGCGTTACCAGCTGCAAACACCATGGTTAGTACCTAAATAGCTAGCATTTTTCTTTTTTTTTGGGGGGTTTTTTTTTTCTTTTTCCCTATACCTCACCACTATACTAACCCCATGCTCTCCAACACCTCCATTGCTCTAACCCATAACCCATCAAAGCTCTTAAAACTGACCTTGACAAAAACCACACCTAGATCGTCCGTTGATTCGCATCAAGCGTAAAGGCCGGCCTTTCGCAACGTGTACAATGTGCAATGCAACGCCCTGCACATCTCCAATGGAGCACGCGCGCGCAAAACGTGACGCAGAGCTCAAATGTCCAAAAGTAACGCAAACACAAAACACAGCCAACCGGAAGCCATATCTTCGGCATATGGAAGAAGAGAAATTGCAAACGCCATGGTGCTGATTGGTGTTTGCTCTTTTTCTAGAAAGCCTCGAGCAACGGAAGACTCTATCCGCGGCATAACCCGACCGGTTTCCTTCCCATTGCCCCCCGTCCAAGTCCGGGTCCGTCGGGGTCGAATTCGGGTTCCGTGGGTGGGAAGCCTCTCTCAACGGCCGTGACAAACTCGAAGTCTAGGTCCGGGTCAAAATCGGCCTGCTCGACCTCGCCGGCTTCGTCGCCCGCGAAGACCCCTATCTACCATGATGCGGTTGGCGCAGGAGATTGGTCGGGCTCGGAGGGCTCGATAGCTAGGATTGAGTCATCCAGACACACTGTGTCTTTCTCTGGGTCAGGTATGTCCGGTTTGGACCCGAATCAGGCACTCAGCGCAGAGCAAGGTGGCTCCGCTTCACACTCCGCGCCGGGATCACTGTATGAATATCCCGTTACGTCGGAGGCTGAGGCCACAGCTGCTGCCTTGTTCGATCCTGCATATTCTCTCCGGCCTTCTACGCTGGCTGTTTCGGGTTCGCAGCTCGCGCAGACGTTGACCATGATTAGTCCGCTCGAAGGGGTGAACCCCTTTGACTTCTCGCTGGACCCTGCGCTGGAATTGGGTGATAGCACATTGGGATATTTGAACGAGGCCGACCTAAATATGGGTTTGGAGTTGCCGGCTATGGAGGAAGTGTTTCATGTCGAGGATTGGTCTAGGTATATGTGGTCGGCTGAGACAGGGTTTGAGCATTTAGATACTGGATTTCCACCTGTGTCGCAATAACAGGAGGGGTCCAGGCAGCGAACCTGGCCAACAACTCGCATGATGATTGATGATTATGATTTTATTTCTTCGTGGTTGAAGACATATATACAAAATGGAAGAGCGGAAGCATGGGCTCGGGTGCTGTTTTGTGATCTCTTTTACTGCATCTACAAAGCTATACCTACAATCGGAACAGTTTCAACTTTCATGCGGGTTCAATGGAAACAACGTGTCCTATGCTCTATCCGAGACTCCGAATGGATGCCAAGCACGAATGCCCCCGATGCTCCTTGCTGATGTAAAATAATGACGATAACGGCACTGGTGACGCCGACTATACAGGAGAGTGAACAAAATTCGACAGAAAGCAGGCCTAGACCTTCCAAGACCACACAAACAGACAAGCGTCAACCGCTCAAGAAAAATGTACGAAGGGCCAAATAAGTACTACATAGACGTCCCAACCTACACCTCCTGGATGTAGTTCGCCGGAACGCTCTTCGTAACACCGCCCCGTTCGACGTCGGCCCATCCATCACCACTATCCCGGTTGATTAGGACAAATCGGTCACCCTCTGCCATATTCCACTCCATATCGCTGCGGGCTTCGTACTCGTACAATGCCTCGACATATTGCAATTTCTTGGCTCCTCGTCTGGGTGCGACGGCTGGGCCGACACGCTTCGGTGCAGCGCTTCCCGCCAGGGAGGCTGAGGAATTTGAGTACGTGGACCCAGGTCGCTCAGGCATACTGGGGCTAGCGGATGGCACGGGAGATGGCGTTGGGGCAGCTTCAACATACGTGGCTGGAACAAGTCCTTCGTTGGCTCCGGATCGCACACGCAGCCATCCAGAACCATCTGTGTGATTGTTAGTAAAAATCTTGGGGTGTAAACAATAAGACAAGAGGACGTACCATCTGGTTGGAGGATCACCACTTCGTCCCCATCTTCCACGCTGACCTCATCTGAGCCGGTGGCTTGATACGCGTACAGCATCTTACCTCGTGGCTCCTTCGATCTCGAGGCCATGCCAGAGTCGCTCGGCGGAGGTGCAGTCACGTATGCTGTCGGAGGTGGTGCTAGCACCCGGTTCCTCTTCGCGGCAGTGGCAGCTGGCTTTGTCTCTGCAACGGGAGCTCGAGGCTCCTCTGCTGGGCTTTCGGGTGTGGGCTGGGTGGTAGCATTCGATACCGACCGAGCCGTACTGGCCGCATATCCTGAGCTAAGGGAGTTCATTGTGTTTTGTCGCGTCAGGGACGGGGCGGCAGTGGAAGCTGTAGGGGTGCCGACATCCACAACAGGCATGGCACCAGCCTGTTCCTGTCGCAAGCCCTTGAGTTTCTTCTTGTCTTCCTTGGTTTGCTCGCCTGGGCACTCCGCGGGCACCTTCATTTGGCATTTACTATGACAGGTGTAACCACAATCGCGACAATCAAAGCCCTTGGCGGACAGGCCCCAAATTCGCTCGCCGCAAAGATCACAATTTGTCGGGATCTTAAATGTCTGAGAGCGGAAATTGTGGTTCTGGGCTCCCAACGACAAATCTCCAGCCACTGCCATGATAGTCGCCGTTTCTACCTCGGCTGTAACCCATTTGCGATCAACTTCGTGCAAGGATTCTTGGGTATAGAAAATGGATCGCACAACATCTAGCTCGTTTCGATTGTCTTTGCCCTGTTGAATATTTTCCCGTACTTTCTTGCTTCCTTCAACCTCGCGCTTCTTCCGGTCTGACTCAACTCGTAGTTCGCGGATTTGAGTTTTGCTTTTACTCAGGACGTTGCGCAGGAAGACCTTGGCTGCCTCGTCGGCGATGATTGAAGCATCGTCGTGCCATACTGGACTCGGCTCAAATGCTAGGTTTGCAGGTTCCTGCGATTGCGTCACATTGTGCTGGAGGAACATCAAAGAGTCCAGGCGCGGGTTGTTTCTAGGAATTTCGACAAGAAGATTGGCTATGTGCTCGGTGCTACTTGAAAGAGATGCTTTCTCAAGTTGGGCGGCGAGCGACCACATCAAGTTCATTTTTGCGACTCGTGTTTCATTGAGGTTTTGTAATCCCTGGCCGGAAGTATGAGTACCATTGTTGATCCAAGGTATTTTGGGGGGGTGGGGGTGACAGGTTTATCTTACATCGATCACCTCAGGGACATATTCATGGTAAAATTTCTCCTTGAGCTTATTTGTCACATTGATGCCGATGAGATAGAGGTTCTACCCGCAAGTTAGCATTAGAACACGGAGTTTTCAGTTGAATGAGCCATGCCTTATAGTTGTTCATCTCCAGTATTTGTTGTTGATATGCTGTTTGTGCTTTGCCCTTGCCATGATCGAAAGCGGACTCCATTTTCTTTCTGCGAGATTCAACCTCCTGGCATGCGCCATCGTATTTACCCTTCGCTTTTTTGAGATCGCCATATGCTGCCTCCCGTTCCTTCTCTAACTTTCCGTGATATTCAACATGGCATTTGCGGATCTCTTCATATTGGGTGGCAGCTTGTTTCAGAGGATCCGCCACCTGCACTATCAACTCCGAGGCAAACTTGTCTCGTTCGGCGGCGTGAGATTCCACGGCGTTTAATTGTGTGGTCCATGTAGTGAGCGATGCGCTTTCGAGGGAGCCGGGGGTTAAGGCAGGCGTATCGCCTACACTCAAGGGGCTGATCTTCTTCGACTTGCGGTCGTAGTACTTTTTGCACAGGGCCGTTAACTTGGATGCGTATTCCTTCTCAATGGCACTACGCTCGCGGTAGAATTGGTGTATTTCGTCTACCCATAATATACCATTTGAGACCTGTGCAACATGTCTGCATTAGCTCCACTTCAAGCGTATAGGATGATCTGACGGGTTGGCTGCGGGGAAACGATGTCGGGACCATACCCAACTGTTAACTGGTTTGAAGGAGTCCTAGATGAATTAATCCAGTTAGTTATGAATCTGCGACCATCACCATCCAGTATATATACCTTTAACTCTGCTCCGAATTGGGGAGCAACGTCTGCGGCCGCCATGGCTAAATTGAGATCCCAAGGCAGACGCGCATAGGATGGCGCGGGAATGGAAGACCGAACAATGAGACGGGGTTGCCTGGTGTCAGCGCTGCTCTTTAATGAGCCACTTGTCTTGGTATCAACCAAAGTAGTGAATATCTCCAATTAGGCAGTGTTCAATGAGCTATTGAGGCCATTCAGACAAGAAGAATGAGCTCAATGGCCAAGGCGGGGAGAAGACCGGTCCCTGTGACAGTACCAAACATCCACGTTGCCGGTAGCCAATATGTGTCTTGGCAATCTATTACAATACAGATACATTTATTTCACTTTGACTCAATTCGGACTAGTTCCTATCCTTCGGCGTCATCTGTTTTTGCTCTTCCATTCGGAAGAGCTATTGTTTCCTTTTGGCTGTTGCTCTTCTCTTGGTGCTTGGGTTTTTAATTTCCGCCATTTCCCCCCCTCATAACTGAAGTCTTTATCGGTTGGCACCATCTTGACCCCCAATCGTGGACTCAGCCATCTAATTCCATTTCGAACTTTTCTTTACCCCACGACCAACCCCTCCACCTTTCCTTCTCCAACTCCTTCTGGTTTGTTGAGATACCAACCAGACTTTTGCGCCATGTCTGAAAATCCAGAGACTACCCCTGCTGGGGGTTCCTTGGCTGATCGTGTCACCAAACCTGACGAGTCCAAACCCACCGGTACGAAACGAAACCACGCCACCGTCGCAGATTCCTCCAGTCCACATGACCGGAAAACGTGCGATACCCCGGCTGATAGCTAATATATATTTCTTTTCTTTAAATTTACAGATTCCACCAATGTCTCCGCCGCCCCCAAGGAGGACGGGGCCTCTGCCCCCGCGCAGGGCTCGGCAGATCTCGAGGAGCCCGACTACACTGTTGCGGTGAAATTGAGCGATTTGCAAGCGGACCCCAACAACCCCCTGTTCTCAGTCAAGAGCTTTGAAGACCTGGGCCTGTAAGTGCTACTCATAGACATGCTGGTGCAAATGAGCGTCTCATAGCTAACTTGATTGACAATCCAGAGATGCGCGCATTCTGAAAGGTCTCTCGACCATGAACTTCCGCAAGCCATCCAAGGTGCAGGAGCGCGCTCTTCCCCTCTTGATGAGCAACCCCCCGAAGAATTTGGTTGGTCAGTCGCAGTCCGGTACCGGCAAAACCGCAGCCTTCGTCCTCAACATCCTCAGTCGTCTCGACCTCTCAACAGAGCAGTTGCAAATGACACCTCAAGCTCTAATCCTCGCTCCTACCCGTGAATTGGCTCGCCAGATTGTTGGTGTAATTCAGGTTATGGGTCAGTTCCTTGAGGGTCTCGTAATCGGCACTGCTGTTCCTGCCGATTCCAATGCTCGCCCATCGAAGATGGATTGCTCGGTTGTGGTTGGCACGCCTGGTACTGTTCAAGATATGATCAAGAAGCGTATCATGAACCCTACTGGCTTGAAAGTGCTTGTCCTGGACGAAGCGGATAACATGCTTGACCAGCAAGGCCTGGGAGATCAGTGTATCCGGGCCAAGGCGTAAGTACTTTTCTCACCCCCAACAGTCGAAGTTTTCAGCTAAAAGCTCCCCCTGGGTAGTATGATTCCCCGAACTGTTCAGATCGTCCTGTTTTCGGCAACATTCCCTGCTCACGTCTACCGCTATGCGGGCAAGTTTGCTCCTGCGGCAAACGAGATTACCCTCCAACATGAAGAGTTGACTGTTGATGGCATCAAACAACTCTACATGGATTGCAATACTGATGAAGAGAAGTATCAAAACCTCGTCCAGCTCTATGGTCTCCTTACTGTCGGATCCTCAATCATTTTCGTCCGGGTAAGTACCATCTAGGATTAAGATTGGAATATTGCTGATCTCCGTATAGACCCGTGCTTCTGCTGTTGAAATCGAGAAGCGTATGGTTGCTGAGGGTCACACTGTCGCCTCGTTGACTGGTGGTGTTGAGGGATCCCAGCGTGACGCGGTGATTGATTCCTTCCGCAGCGGT